AGTACCCGGTTCAACCGTAGGAAGTTAATAACTAAAAAACTGAGTCAAATTATTGATTATTGACGGACAGAGAGATGCATTCCCTATAAAATAACATTCCCCATTAAAGGGTATTCGATAAAAGTCGGCATCTGGGCAGTGGCAAGCATTGAATTGTTGCCACGGGGCTGATCACCTCACAACTGTGGGGCTGGACCTAGTTCCCAAGCGGCTGTCAGCTGTCCGTATACTTTCTACCTCACCTATTCTCACTGTTCTCTGATGAGTGTTTTTATCCTGCTTAAAGTTGTTTTTCTTTATAATATTTTGTAATGAGTTTTGAAAATTAAAAAATAAAATTATTAAGATTTGTGCATGGAACTGGAGAGCCGCACCTTGACATCAAAAGAGCCCTATGCGGCTCGCGAGCCGCAGGTTGCCGACCCCTGGTGTAACACATTCCAAATGTTGTGTTCCTATGCCATGAGTTAAAATTAGTACTGTTGTAGAACCTGGATAGTGCTGATATATAAGTTTCGTTCTTTTTTTTACACGGACGATAAGAAACCAGCAATACTTTGGTCTTTATGTTCCGATAAAAAAGCATGTTTTTATTTAATTTGACCATTTGTTTATTGGTCTAATCCCTACCGAACAATACGTATGTAAGTATTAAAGGGAGTTAATCCATAAATTGTACTTGTGTTATAAAATGAAAATTACCTTCTCTTAATAAAACAAGTATAGAAAATTGTGTTGCGGAGTGGTACGCTATTAGAATTTATTTCCATTAATAATAGTTTGAGAAACCCAAATGCCTTTATTCAAGTTTTTAACAAAACATTTTATTATCACCATTTTATTTTACCTACAAAGCTCGGGTAATCACAAATGTATCCCTGGAATCTCATATTGTGTGCAACCTTGATTCACACGAAAATCATATGCTGTGTTACATTTTAACGATTACATTTAAAATTATTTATATTATTTGCACTAAGGAAGTTTGTCATTCGCAATGATCTAAGCTACTAAATTAAATGATATAACAAGTAAACAAGCGATAGAAAAGACTTGAAAATTAACATTCACAATCAACATGACAGTGTCTGAACTTTTATGATATCAATATCATGATTAATATCTTAAAATCAAAACTGTTTTTCATCCTTTAATTAAACGACAAGAATTTAAATCTTTGAACAAACAGATCTTAACTAAACATTGAAACTTCTTTATCAGCATTATATTATATTTCCCCGCGACGTGAGAAGCTTCCTGGTTTAAATGAACTGCTGCTAGTCAAATGATTTTGTCTCTTGTTTATTAAAGGTGGACATAAAAAATGCTGATGGCTCATTCAACAAAATTTAGAGTGTTAATACGGCTAAAAATTAAAGTTTATTCTTCCGTTTAGAATAATCTTGAGAATGACAAATTATGGGATTTTCAAACGGCATAGCTGAAAAACTAATGGTGATCAACGAATACAAAAAACTTCAATTAAGAAAGATAAACGATACCAAAATCGCAAACACTATCATAATATACAGATATATACAGATAAAATTTAATATAGAATTTGATTTAGTAAGACTTAGACTTGTTAAAACGAGAGTAGTGTGTGAAAATTGCTTCAATATGCTTCTATCTACCTGGTGCAGGTATAAAGGAAGTATCTCAGTTTACATTTAAAAGGTATAGTAGGTAGTATATCATTCTCTGCCATTGAGGGCAGTGAATTTGTAAACACGTATATCGCAAAAACATGTCAACCTACTTATTTGAAAAACGTTACATCATAAACAAATGACAAAATAAGATTTTGTAGTTTGGCATAGTGGTTATTTCAAAGCTGCTATTCTTTCTAAACAGCTACGTTTTTTTTTTCGTCTATAACACTTGTTGGTAAAAAGTTTCATCTTACGAATTGACACATGTAAGAGTGGACACAAAATCCAGACAGGCAGGAAGGAGTCTGAATGTTTTATAAAGATGTTGGAGAGATACAAACATCAAATCAAATATAATATTATGTTTTCATGTGAACTAGCAATGGACACATTATGCAGTACAGTTACAATCAGTAATCCAGGTGTTAGTTAAAGTCATAAGAGTAATGTGTTAAGCCAAATATTAGCAAATAACAATATTCGTGTTATTCGTTGTTGACAACGTATTGGAAGAAAAGTATTTTTTTTAATTGACGTTTGTTACACGTCACATAAAACAATTTTTTAAAATTATTTTTAAAATCAATTTTTCAAATTCATAACTGCGGGTTATCCAAATAAGCAGTTCACATTTTAAAAGTATCAGGTCTATTTAATAGACCAAAATTTCAACCGTTAATTAACACAGTTAAAATGTCATGGTTATCAGATTAAAAACCATACTTAACACCCTCGTTTTCGTATGACTGAACAAGGGGAAGTTAAATGAATGAATGTGTTGATCAATAAATATACATACACTGTGATGTTATACAATAGCAAAATTTAGTCATATGGTGTATTGTATTTATGTTATACTCTGAAAATTAAAGGGAGCTTAGCTATTAATAATATTTTGTTTTTAGAATTATATTTTATCTCTCTTTTTTTAACTCTCTTGCAATATCCTAGTTTTCATTTCTCAAATATAAAAACGAATTATTGACCGACATTTTTAGCAGAATTTTTTTTTCGCAGATGTTTACATATTACAATATATTAAAAAACTACAACCAAATTTTGAAATATATGATTTATCGAGTTTTTAAAATTGTATGTGTGTGTGTGTGTGTGTCTGCCTATGTTGCCACGATCTTTTAGGTACCCTTTCAGTTAGGTGAAAGGATGTTCATATAGAAGTATTAGATCGTACACGTAGTTTAATGTAAACTTTTTAGAAATATCCGATTTCTCAAAAATAAAAATAAAACGGTATCTTTAGTACCTTTTATGTGGAAAAAATATATCTTTATCGTATTACGGCTTAAAAGTGAAGGTGTGCTGAATTAGTAGAGAGTTTGCAAGTCTCAAGTTTGTACCCATATGACATCCTTGAGTCCACCTAATTCTGATGGGTACCTGAAAGTAAAGACGGCTGAGGGTAGTGATGACCACACTATTTCTTCATTTGCTTTGCTCACTGGTACAGGTCAACTCCACTTCAACTGCCCCCCATGTACCTCAATGTTGAATTAACTTTTTTACTCTGTTACAACCTATACGTAGGTTTGTTTAAAATATTTGATTATTACCAGTAGCCGGAAATAGTGTAAACACCATTTTAGTTCTCTGATAAACAAGGAAACGACTTCTTCAGTTGTAGCCCATGATCTATTTTCGACGCTGATTTTCTAACAATTCTTTTAACGTTTGTGTTGTGTAACAACAGATGCCTGTCGATTAGGTCATTACTTTACGTTCAACACTCTAATGATCGTGGGGCGGAGTGGTCTAGCGGTAGAGAGCTGGACTACTAACCCAAAAGTCTCGAGTTCGAATCCGGGTTCAATTCAGTAGACCGTCTCTGAGTCCACCCAACTCTGATGGGTACCTAACTCACCTTAGGGAAAGTAAAGGCGGCTGGGCATGGTGCTGACCACCCCATCTCTTTATATGTCGAGGTCACAGAAACACGTGAACTCTACTTCACTTGCCCCATAGACCGTCACGTTTGAAAGGGAAACTTTACTTTTACTCTAATGATCATCCTCAAAGAGGGTGAGGATGTAAACATGTGGTATATCGGCCAGATGTGAAGGTCCACGTAGTAGCCACAGTCTACAAAACTGTATGGGCTCCTGAAGCCTTCTTTGTTTCGATTTAGTTATTGCTTGTAGTATCCCATCGTGGAAACAAGTATTTCTTTTCAACTAAATTTTCCGGTGGGGGGGGGGGATGGGCGGACACCGGAAAAGGAATATGTTTTCAATATAAAATTATATTTCGTTCCGGGGAGGTGGGGCGATAGATTGTTATCGGGAGGGCTCTGCTCCCACCATCGCGAAGAGATGCCTGAAAGAAACTCATGTGAAAATGGCATGGTCTAGAGGCAGTCCATTCGCCAGCTAACCAAAAAAGCTACGACTAGAAATTATTAACGTCCAAGGGTGGATAAAAAGTGACCTTCGCTGGCTGTATTTTTTAAATTTACATTACTGCTACGGCCCTGTTCACATCTGGTACTGCCACTGTTCAATTATAGTTGCTATCCAAAGGTAGAAAAATTCCTAGTCTTTGTGATTTAAGGGGATTTATTTAATAAAACAATTCAGCTTTTCGTCATTATTATTTTTTTGGAGTTTTTTTTTTTTTTTTTTTGTTATTAATTTTGCCTCTTTTGTAGAGGTTAAGGAAGTGTATTAATGACATAGTTTAGATTAAATATATTTTCAAACAAAGAGCTTCTTACTTCCTAATTTACTAATGAAACAATAGTTTGCAATTAAGTAAAGGCAGAAGTCAAGTGTCCACTTGTAACTGAGATGAGTCAATACAGACAAAAGTAAAACTTTAATTTCTGCTTAACTAAACTAATACACTTCGCGTTGACACGGTTTGTATTTGATTTTAATAGTACACATCTTAAGTCGTAATAGAAATTAAGATATGATTCAAATTGTGTAATCGTGCCCGTGTGTTTTACAGTCGTGTAAGGAATGTATACTCATCAAATGAAATAAAGCGCGATATTATCGCTTAGTCATTAAGACGGCTAGTTAATTTATTTCAAATTAGTGTTTGATATTAAAGAGGAGTATTTAGTTATGCAGGCTAGTACTTTAACTCTGCTAGATTTATACTGCATGAATTTTTTGTCACCTATATTTTGCACAACAATCAAAACTTAAGTCCGGATATATTTGTATGATTTAATGAAACCTTAATCAACTGATCTGTACTAATAAAACCAGTTACCAGATTATATATTTTTTGTGAATCAATCTAATTTATATTTTATTTAAATGTGTAAACAGCATTTTAGTTAACAAAAATATATTATTTTAATATTTTTTTTTAAACCATTGAATCTTTTTGCAGATTTTTCTATTAAATTGCTAAAATGCGGAGCATAATGAAATTGTTCTTTCTGTTTTTTTATTTGCAAATTTCAGAAAGTAAGTTTAACTTTTCTAATTACTTATTTAAATTTTAATTTGCTAATATATGTTAACTTTACTTCTAAGCATTAAATTTGGTGTTTAAATAGTTATTAATTTTTTTTCAGGTGAACGCAATACATATCCCGTAGAAATTAACACTATACATGAGTTTGAAGTGAATACTTCTGCCTGTGATACATACGCCAAACTTGAGGTGCTCTGTGAAGCACTAGCATATTGTATGGTGCCAAGTGTTAATAATGCAATTTGTAACAAAACAAAACACGGTGTCCAAATGTTGATACCTTTAAGACTACGTTGTGATAAAATGACTATAAAATGTGCAGATAATGTCGTGTATGAACGTAATCTTGTCAAATATAGTAAGTATATTTAATGTGTGATTTCAAATTTATAACGGGTTATTATAAAGAAAAACAAAAGATAAAATAAATGTTATATTATTGGATCTGCCTGTATGTCGGATATGGAAAAGGTAAGATAAGATTAGGATTAGGATAAGTGCTTGGAAAAGTTCAGTTATGTGATCATGATTTGCCTCCAGACAATGAGAAAAATTAGATCCAATATTATAGTTCTTAGACTTTACCCTACGATTTTAACTAGTATTTTAATTATAACATCATTTTATTCCCCCAAAACTCTTTTTGCACCTCAAAATCCTTATCCTCATATGAATGACAAAAGCTATGTAAAACATAACCACTAATAAGATCAAATTTTAAAAAATATTTATAATAAATCTTATTTTAATTTTTAAAAAGTTTGAATCTTGTTAATTATTATATCAATTAATTTAATATACAATTCATAAAAAAACATTCAAATAAAAAACAAGTATAAAACCACAACGCCACATTGAACAATCGCTCTGTACATTTTTACCCGAATGCCTACTTATCAAATTCTTATATCAGTATCATTATATTAATTCAAAAACGTATTGTAGGACCGCGTGGTTGGTCGGGAACAATGAACACTATTTCCTCCTTCCCATGAACCGAAAGGTTCGAAAGGGTAACTTTTCTTATTATGTTTACAGAAATACCAAAAGATTTGAAAAGCAGTTATAACATAACCGATGATCGATTTCTACTGACCACAAAAGCAATTGGAATTTATCCAGGGGGAGTGTGTAAATTCCATTTTATAAACATGGACAATGTGAGTTCTCTTGATCGTTGTTACAAGTTTTTACTATCTTGTTAAGCTGTTCATAGTTTTAGTCAGTTTAGAAATATATGTATATATAAATACCACAACTTTCTTTAGCCAGATGTTGTCACAAATTACAGGTACTCTTTGCGAAGTATGTTGCAAAATATTCAGAAGAATCGGGATCAATAGTTATCGCACAAACTATGACACTTCCCCACCGCACACGCTTAATGCAACAATTTGATGTTTCTACCCATTATCTGTGGGATTTTTTAGCAGGCAATAAAATCAGTCAACGTGTTAACTTCAAATATTTATTTAAAGTCAGCAGCATCAATGACAATTCCCTATTCGGCGTACAAAGCGATATGTTTAAGAAAGAGACAAAACACTTTGTGCAGATCATCGTTTTCAAATATATATATCGCACAAACATAACGGCTACACATTCTTTTAAATAGATCTCGAGTCTGATATATTTTCCCTTATCCACACAGTAAGCTCTTTGTGCAAAAAAAATGCATGCTTTACAGTTCACATTCGCTTCACCTAGTCAGAATTCTCGCTATCATACCGAGCAAATAATATAGTATTAAACTGTCCGTTACACATATTCATAAAACATGTTGCTACTACAATTAAGGAATCACATTATTTGGCTGGACACTTCTGTATGCTAGTGTTGGAAAGTATTTATAAGACTATTTTAAACATTAAATTAAATATTAAGTAAAATTACAATTACCATTGTATATAAATATTAATAACTCAGTGTGTTAACTACATTCATCAACTAATATATTGGAATTTCTACCAATCGAAATATTTTTAAAATATTACAGTCAGAGGTAATAGTCTCTAGCGTCGATGCAACAGCTGACAACAAGGCGGATATACACGATGTCACATGTAATTTCTCCTTACCGACAACTACACTTGCAAGGGGATATTATGAAGTCAACATTTCAGTTTACCCATCAACACTCAGTTTATTATATGGAAGAAATGATTCTCGGAGATTATTTATTGGTAAAAATAAAATTATATTACATTTTCAAACCTAATTTGATAAATGTTTGGCTATAAAATGTAGTAGCTTGTATAGTTACATTTAAAATAATATATTGGAATGCATTTAATGTTTATTCAGGTCTGGCTGTATCTTTGATCAACTGCCAGCATGAATACACATATGTCAATAAAACCATCAATTGTACCTGTGTACGATCAGACAACTATCAAATAACAGCTCAACCTATGTGGTACAACAATCGTCATGAAATACAGGGGAGCGGATCTTCAACTTTATCTATCCAGGCATCCAATTGTAACAACGGTAATATATACTCCACGATAAAAGAAATTATACTTCTTTATCATACTGTAGCATAATATAGCATAAAAATAACCCTTTAATACTTTAATAATAATTTACTGAAATGTATTGAATATGTATTAAAGCACACACAATGGGTACGCATGTGTCCATTTCGATAACTGGCCGGAATGCCCTGGCCAATTTCCGATATAGGTTACGGTATCATGGCAATTTAATATTTAATATTTTCGGCTACAATTTCTTTGTGATTTATGCATTCCTCTGCTGATGTTTGTATACTATTGGATGTGCATTCCGACATGCATAAAAGCTCAACAGATCACTAGTCTGCACACAAATTTTTTTATTAATCTTGATAGTATCCAAATATCATAAACAACCGGTTGCTTCTGTGTGGGGTAGCTACTCTGTGATATAATCATACATTAACGAAATCAAAGGCAACCGGTTTCATCGTCCACTTGATACAAACACAAACGTTTAAAAGACAGTACAGCAGTGGATGTCGTCTATATTAGTTAAGCTCGATGGTCAAAGTGATTCGATATAGCGTGGGCGTCAGAAACCATAATTATTTATTACAACCACTAGAGGAATATCAAATAAAGCAGACAATGAGTATACTATACATATCGGTAATATTGCAATCCAGATGTTTGTACACTGTAGGTTACCTCACATTTTTGTATAAGTTATACATTGCGTTTACCTTATTGTGATATCAGGTCTGGCAAAGTTACTAAGAAATTGCAACGAAGACTGAATATAGAGTACCAATATCCAATACCCATTAAATAACATTTGTAAATATCTACCTTTATTCATTATAATTATACCACCCTTATCAAAAGAATGGGTCTAGGGCATCACCCGTCTGTCAATTGTGCAATTATTACCCCCTTCTTCAAAATATCTATTATTCATGAGCTTTTTAATCGTAAAAGCCGGGTATTTTATAGCTAGGCTTAATATAGAAGTGCAAAATAATTCATACTATCCCTAGGCATTGTATAGTGTAACAAGCACAGTGTAGAACTGGCTTTAAATATAAAAATAACAAACTGTTCTGTTAATCAAAATAACATAAAATTTCATCTGATTATTAAAAAAATATATTTTGAATGATTTTGCAATGTTCCCTACTTAATAATCAATGCAAACTTAATTGTATTATCGTTAAGGTAATAGCTTACGAACATCCCAATCGCACTCATGATATTGTTATTCGGATTTTGGCCTATCGCGCAAGGCCAGTACACAAATTAGCTGGTTGATGTCCGAAATAAAAAGTAACGATTTCGGATATTGGCAATTCCATTGGTTAGTTCATCAAAAGGCCGACTTCAATGTTAGGCAGTTAACTACAGGCCTCTATATACATTAGAGTTTACTAACTCCTACACTCTTTTTCAGACTATTATTGTGTGGCACAGTTACATAACATTTCAAGTAGCAAACTCAGGTATTCCATTACGTTTCAAGAAGGTAATAATGCATTTAATGAATAATATAATATCATATTTATCTTAATATCATATTAATTATTTGGTTAAATGAAGACTTGAATGTCTTGGAACAATATTTTATAGGTCTTCATTTAGCTGTAAACAACATCTATAGAAAATACAAAACTCAAGTCTCAAAATAATTTTCACCTATATTTAATCCAGCTCATGAACCATCACATTGCTGTTTCAATACAAAAGAAATAACAGTATTCGCATCTTCAATGTCAGGCACAGTATTGCTGTTTGCTATAATCTTATTCTGTGTAGTCACGCACTATAAACATAGTAAGTTTAAAACATAATTCATTTGTACGTACGGGCTTGAAAAAAAGACGTACAATGAATTATTTGATTTCAAACGCTTCAATAAATGGTATTTCATACTATGTTCTTTAGTAGTATTTGTGCATAGAATTTCCAAAAATGATTGTTAATAAAATTTCGCTTATATATGAAGAGTTGATTTTCAAAACGCGATAAGCGCCATTTTTGAAAAAAATGAGATAGCGTGCCCATATTGTAAAGCTACTCAGTTACTATTAGGAAAACTTAATTTTAATCTTCACGGCGCAAAATTTTCATTTTATTTCTATTTTGTAGCTTAACAAAAGCTGGATATACCTCATTTTGCAACGAAACGCAAATTTTGGGACAAAAAAAAAGCATCTTTTTATGCAAGTACATTTCAAAAACCATTCTAGTCCTATTTATATGAGGGTTATGAACCTAAATTGACAAACAGTTTTAGCAAATTGTACAATGGCTTCGTGTAGGAGAAAAGTGCGATTTTCTCGAAACCCAAATTTTGGATATATTGCATTTTGAAAATCAACTCTTCATATACATATATATATATATGTATATATATATATATATATATATATATATATATATATATATATATATATATCCACAATCACCTGAAACTGATGTGCTATGTTCTAGGGTTGCAAAAACATCATCAGTTTACTGAAACGTCTATACCTGGCGATCATGGGCTCTATATAACTCCCTTAGACAACCTAGAGGATCATCGCAGTTCTTCCGAAATAGAAAATGCAAATTTACAGTGTTACCACAACATAAATGAAATGGATCCAGCTTCCATGGGTAGCCACGGTCATCATTACAGTGAGGTAGGGCTGCCTGGCCATATGAGCCTAACAGGTGATCCACCAATGAGCAGCAGATTAGTGGAGCCAGTGGTCACACAAAACATACAGGAACTAAACGACGGTTATTTAACACCATTAGATGTGGACACGCAAACAACTGGCACAACTAACCAACGCTCGCAACAATTGGATGGTTACGCCATCATCATTGATCACTATTCGACTATCGATTAAATTTAAAAGGTTGTTGTTTCGTCGTTAAGGTATATTGAACATAAGTGACAAAGGTTACAAGTATCGTTTCTTCGTCCAAATTCTTCGCTGAAGTGTCAAATAATGACTCTGAGAATAACAAGATGGGCATTCATTGGAACGTGAAAGATAGTGGTGAAAGATCAGAAGCTGACCACAGTCAAAGCATGGGCGAAATCACACGACTCGCCCAGGACAAGGAAGTATGGCTGAGTTTTCATGATGCCTTATAGTCCACAGGAAGCGACATGGATTAATTAAATAAAATGACTCAATACACTTGTTATGACTATAGGTAGTTTTTTTACAAAGTAATACGGAATGTTATTTCAAAAAAGCGTGTGCAGTTCCGTGTGTTTACTAAACATTTTATAATGAAATTAACAGTGTTTTATGAAGAAAATTTATTGTAATTATTTTAATCTAAAAGGTCACGCAAATATCGCTTCCTCCCGACCCGTAGACCTAACTGTAACAGACTTTATTTTTTGTATGATTCATTTTATTGTATTTAGCATGAAGTTGTATGAAAGTAGAGTACCTGGTCAATGGAAGGACTGTGTGAGCGACTCGTCATGTTTTGCCATGCTTTTTGTAAGATCGCTCACTGACGTTAGGGGAGAGAATGAAAGGTATAAAAGGGGAGCGCAAGAGGGACTGGGTACCTGTGCCTGTATAGAAGAATGTTGTAAGCTGTAACTACGTCACTCTGTTATTCTGGATTGTATTTTGATTGCTGTTGTTTCACTATGGATTTTCATTATTTATAATGTGAATAAAGTTTGTAAGTTGAAAGAACTGTCGTTCGTATTCATTGAACTCTCAATAACACCGTATTGTCTCATCTACAAATACGCGTTGTTACACTGACCATTCCTTTTCTTGGTATCCCCTTGGCCGTCTGAGTTTGCTACTGCAAACAACAGCGTATATGTTTACAGAGGTAACTCCACTTAGTTTTCACAGGAAAATGCAAGTAAGAAATATTGACAGTATAAGGAATGACTATGTCACCGAATTCTTGTTTAATATTTGACAATGACTATGCTTTATTTCTTTACACATTTCTAACAATAGTTGTTTAGTACTCGCTCCGAATTACTTAATACCATTGACTAAATAATCTAAAACAGCAGACTACCATGAGTTGTGGTGTTCATGTCGTCTCTGGAGATTTTGTCAATTATACTTCCGCATGTTAATAAACATTCGCAAAACTTATAAAATTCAATATTTTTTAAATTATTGAATTAAGAAGCACTTCAAAACGGGTATTTATTTGTTTTTGGTCGTTCAACACTTTTCGAGTCAATTAGATCAGACTCCAACAGGAAACAGTACTGGTTAAGTACAGAGTGACAAAGTGTGTTATTCATTAAGTGCTAAAGGAAATAATTCTTCTGCCGCGAGTCGCCTTCTGCCCTTTCAATTAGATTAGACTTCCCATACATGAAATGAAAACTAACGGTTCTAAAATTAATTCAAACACAAATCGTAATACATCGAGTTACATAATTAGATTTTTTAAAACCCTAAATCGCGTCAGCGCGTTATAAGTACCATGAATTATATTGAAAATAGTTTCCTTCTGTGTTTTTGTAAGCGTTGGTATTATCATGTTGTTTATTTTTAAAATTAGTTTTAACATTATTTAGTTGCTCGTTTTTTATTCCTGTATTAACTTCTACTTGATTGTGTTAAGAACAAGTTTTTTAACCCTTGTGTTCTTGGTTTCATAGTTTGTTTTAATTGAATTAGAATATATATATATATATATATATATATATATATATATATATATATATATATATATATATATATATATATATATATATAATTCTCTTCTTGGAGACAATAGAAAACACATATCCCTACCACCCTCACATGGTCAGGTGAGCTGTGGTTCACGCTAAATGTTTACAATCGTAGAGCCGGGTTTAGTGACGGCTATTAGGGGCAGATAATTTATTTTGAAACGATTTCAAACTTTGGGGAGGTAACTAAGAGGAGGCTGCTTTCACGGGGGGGGGGGGGGGTGGTAGGGTAGGGATTGGGGGAAAGGAGGTTGGGGGGGGGGGGTTATCGTCCTTAACGTCCTACTGATAGTGTTTTAAAGCAAATATTTTCAGTGGCAGCATTGGTACTGTCAAATTCACAAATTATGAATTACTGAAAAGTAGAAAATAAAACAACTAAATAGCGGCATATGATACGCCGCGGGTCGGCTCGTTACATTATATTTTCACAATTAGTACCCAACACAATAGAATTCAAGCTAATCTCTGTATTTCCTCTGATCACCAGAATAAATCGAAGTGGAGAGATTTAACTAGAGTAGGGTCTACAATTTATGGCGCTACTCAACTGCATTTTGGAAAGATTTTTTTCTAATTAAACTGCAGCAGGATAACTACTTAACTTTTAATTTTTTGAAGAAGTATCAAAGTTTGAAAGTATTCAGATTTGCAAAAATGTTCATTTGACCTACTTACAAATCAAGGGAAACAACTAAATATTTACGGAAACATTAACCCGGTACGGTCCCTTTGGGATGATTAAAAACGGAGGAAGGTGAAAATTAATCTCACTTTGGACATCTAACATCATAGATCTAGGCAACTAAATATAAATTGTTGAACAGTCCCATCATTTTAAAAATGTTAAAAATTGTTATTATAGTTACATTTCTTTCTTTTGATATGGTTATTGGTGTGAAAAAACATAATAGAATATATTTTTCATAGCAAATATTTTTTAGACATTAATTTAAAATTATAATAATTTAGATTGTATACACACGTTTGAAACGATACCATGGATAGTAAAATTTACGTTTAGTACAGCCGAACGATTAGCATTTGCACAGAGAATTATATTAAATGTAGGTAGCAATATATTCATAACATTAAAAGAGAGCAATTTAAGCATTTTGTAAATATCTTTAACCATATTTTATTGATAACCTATCAAAAATACATCGTATTATTAAAAAAATAACTTAATGTCATAGATTATTAAAAATATAAAAAATAAATTTAAAATATCTTAACAAAGTTGTTTGCTTAATGCGCCATAACTTTTCGAATACTCCAAATCAAAGGGTATCGCAGGATGGGGCATGTTTTAAGAATCAATCCCGATGTCATCAAAGGCTCTTAACTGGATGCCTCAATAAAACGGGGACGGCGAAGGGAGACCTGGGGGCACACAACAGAAATACAATAGACAAGGACATGATTATCTCTTAAACTCCCTAGAAATTTGAAGAAGAATAATAAATTGGAAAGAGTTGATCGTGATGGGCACTCAAGTGAAAAGTTGATGAACTGAACTGTTCGAACGCTAGCCCAAAAGTCCCAAACACAAATCTCGGACTAGAGTCAGTAGACCGTCCATCCAGCTTTAATGGGACTTAACTCATGTTAGGGAAAGTGAAGTCAGCTGTACATAGTGCTGACTACTTTATCCCTTCATGTGATTAGATCAGGGGTTCCCAACCTGGTTTTACTCTAGAGTACATTCTAAAATATCGGTAGGGTGGCGGGCACCACCTATTTTAAATCAACAAACTCCTTCCATAACTTGTCATTTTCCCATAATTTATTTTCTTATTTTCTTATAGTCATAATGTATTAATAAAAAACAAACAAAAATGTTTCAAAATAATAAAATTATTTGGCATTTTTTTCAAACTGCATACACACAGAGAAATGTATTTACAAAACGTAAATAGTGCAGTCTGGCTCGCCGCTAGACAAGTTAGGACAAGTATCGAACATATTTAATAAACCTAGGCAGTCAAAAGAATTAAAACTGTAAAAAATTAAAACAAATGAATAAAAATAAATCATACTTTAAAATAATGTTCATGAAAAAAATTCTGTCTCTGTCGAATAGTGAGAGGCGGGCACATACGAATAGTTCAGCGGGCGCCATGGCGCCCGCGGGCACAGGGTTGGTAACCCATGGATTAGATCATAGAAAGTGCTAAATCTACTTCATCATCACCATGAATCGCCAGGTTCGCAAGTAAACATTGTACTTTTTTTTTACTTTTGTCTTATGAATATAAAAATCTCTTTTCAATCAACAATACATCTACTGGCGTTAACATTTGATTATTTTTGTCAATATTCATAAATTGTAATACATTTCAAATATTTTTGAAGAGGACCCTGTTGTAAAAATAAAACTCGCTACATTGCTATGGATGCAGTTCTGAAAAAGATAAGGTCAATTTTTTGGGAAGAACTTGCCGGGAGATTGATATTACTAACATTTTAATTATACCCAGTAGATTCCCATTCAACACCAGTAATTATCTCTTCATGAAAATTACCACCCTGTTCATAACACTCTCCCAAACAACTGCAGTAGGACATCCCCCCCTTCCCCCACCCCACCTGCACTCATCTACCCAACAGTCATTTAGATAAAGAGATTCATGTAAGGGTTGGTTAAGGATACAATAAGATTATGTATACGCATATCGATTGCAATATCAATATTGTAAATCAATATCGATAGAGATGGGGATATATTATTAAAGGCTATGAAGAGCGAAATGGACAATAATAGTGAGAGTGATGGTGAGGATAATTAAATGTATGGGGTTCGGATAGAGTTGTGTTTATCTTTATATTTATGCTTGTGCTTGTATTTGTGTTTAAGGTTTTGGTTCATGATGTAATTACTTCCTCAAACGTCCATATTTTCATTCAATTGAACATTTTTTATACCCCAAATCCCCTGCAGCGCCGGGTATATTTGGCTAGTAAGAAAATAAAACATTCATTTCATAAAATCAATGGTCGCATAGTTCAGAGCTGCTAAATAAAAGCAAAGCTGTTGTATAGACAAAGGCGAAATAAACAAAAAATACACCTGGTCTATGGTTATTTATTTGATACGGTTACGTTATTAAAAACACAAACATAGAATTTTAAAACCGAATTTCAATACAAAGAATTAAAATTTGGCTCATCTTTTTACCAAACAGATCGGTAAAATAACTACGACACATTACAAAATCGGGAATTCCTACACAAACCAATAGTCGCCATTTTGTTAGCAAGAATACGTAGACATTTGTGAGCAACAAACGTATTTACTGAAGGATTTAAGTTTAGTGCCTTATTTTCAGCGCATTAAAAAATTTATTAACATATATGATTTTACTAGTTGCTTTATTTCTTACTTTTACAAATCTTGCATAAACTGACCAATTGACAGATTTCTAGCCTATTGCGTCATTAGATTTAGAATCTACG